GATTGAGTTGACCAAAATACAATCCATATGTTGGACAATAACCAATAGATAGTATATTTAACGCTTATTTATGCTTACAATGTTGCAATGCTGGTCTGTACAATAATTGTATTTGTTAAGCTACGCAATTAATTAGTTAAGAAACCCACGTAGAGATATAGAGATATTAATGTACTAGGTGCTTACGAATGGTAACTAAAACGAAATACTCATATTATATAGGAGAAACACCCAACCCAATCCAATGCAAGCCAACCGCACAAGCCAAAACTATTCATCTAACTAACACACTGCTGAAGGAACGAAAAAACAGTTTCAAATAAATAACAGTCACTGCCAAACCTTATACTTTACTTATACCCGGTGCTCGTGGAGTGAAAGGGAATATACGAGTGTGTAAGAAACAGGCATTTACAGGTCCAAAAAAGTATACATAACAAGGATCGATCTAAGCACATACTTAATTGTCAGTCCGTCTGAGATATACCATTCGAAGATCAAGCATTGATATGTGATGCTCAAGTATCTAGATACAAGTTCGCCTTTTGATTCTGCTTCTCTCTTGTGATAGTGATTCATATTTTTCAAATTGAAACTAAATCACTTGCACAGCTGTGACACAGAAAAACAATCTGAGTAACGGGTATCGCATAGTCGGATAACCTCGACCATATCATTCTTACTTGTTAATGTTGAATTCATCATATCCCTATGGCCTAAGTCCCGGTACTAAGTATCCTCGCTGTATGTTTTGATACTTTTCGTATTACATTCTAAGTTATTAGTTATACAAGAACGTCTTTTAACAAAATATTTAATGTGAATTAAAGGAATTTAAAAGCTGTTTACCAACCAATCTGTTCTTGCGCCTTCATTTGTGGGGAAGTACTCGTACACCAGATGGTAATAGAAAAGTTTATCATTTATTTAAAGTATGTATTTCATATTTTTAATGGAAGATATATAATTGGCTTTCATTACACTGACTAGGGGCTGAAAGCTCATTGATATACATTTGATTGTAGATGTTGTCTCATGTTCTTAGACGCTACACACACCGACGATTTCTACTCTACCAAAAGATGTTCTTCATAATAAAAATCCCCGGTTCTGTTGCTGAGTGAATTTCAGTGAAGGATGTGCTCTGGCAACAGGAGGTTGCCTCTGTGCTGTTGTAAATTTGAAATGGATGATAATTGTGCGATGGTATCGCTGCTCTTGTGTATCACTGTGCGAGCCGACGGTGTTCAGGGGCGGCCCGCTGACGTTGAGGGTATTGCTGTTGGTTTTTGTTGCCTTTGGAAGTCTTTCGCCACGTGGGAAAGATTTAAAAGCATTTGCGGTGGACAATGCCGGGGCCGGACTCATCGTACTCCTGTTTCGAGATCCACATCTGCTGGAAAGTGGAGAGAGAGGCCAGGATGGAGCCACCGATCCATACGGAGTACTTTCTCTCAGGTGGCGCAATGATCTTGATCTTGATGGTCGATGGGGCCAGGGCAGTGATCTCCTTTTGCATACGATCAGCAATACCTGGGGGCAAACGGCACAAATAAGCATCAAGGAAGGGCAACGGCAACGGATGAGCAGGGCTTACCTGGATACATGGTGGTACCGCCGGACAGCACAGAGTTGGCATACAGATCCTTACGGATGTCCACATCGCACTTCATGATCGAGTTGTAGACGGTCTCGTGAATACCGCACGACTCCATTCCCAGGAAGGAAGGCTGGAACAGGGCCTCAGGGCAGCGGAAACGCTCGTTGCCAATGGTGATGACCTGTCCGTCGGGCAACTCGTACGACTTCTCCAAGGAGGTGGAGGCGGCAGCGGTGGCCATCTCCTGCTCGAAGTCCAGGGCAACGTAGCACAGCTTCTCCTTGATGTCGCGCACGATCTCACGCTCGGCAGTGGTGGTGAACGAGTAGCCGCGCTCGGTGAGGATCTTCATCAGGTAGTCGGTCAAATCGCGACCGGCCAGATCCAGACGGAGGATGGCATGGGGCAGGGCGAAGCCCTCATAGATGGGCACGGTGTGGGAGACACCGTCACCAGAGTCCAGCACAATACCAGTGGTACGACCGGAGGCGTACAGGGAGAGCACGGCCTGGATGGCGACATACATGGCCGGGGAGTTGAAGGTCTCAAACATGATCTGAGTCATCTTCTCGCGATTGGCCTTGGGATTGAGGGGGGCCTCTGTCAATAATACTGGATGCTCCTCGGGGGCCACACGCAACTCATTGTAGAAGGTGTGATGCCAGATCTTCTCCATGTCATCCCAGTTGGTGATGATGCCGTGCTCAATGGGATATTTCAGAGTGAGGATACCACGCTTGCTCTGAGCCTCATCACCGACGTACGAATCCTTCTGACCCATACCCACCATCACACCCTGGTGGCGTGGGCGACCCACAATCGATGGGAAGACAGCACGTGGGGCGTCATCACCAGCAAAGCCGGCTTTGCACATGCCCGATCCGTTGTCGATAACTAATGCACCCGCATCATCGTCACACATCTTGGCAGTTGATTATCTGGAAACAAAAATGCAATCGCACTGTCAATTTGTTCGTACTTATCGGGCTAAAAGTGTCCTTTACGAAAAGTTCATAGAACCCAAATTGACAAAATCAAACTAATTGGAATTTTCGCGAATGCTGATCTTTTTTTCGTCAATCCGATTAATCTTCACTTTATAAATAGATCATGCCCTTTAGAAGACGATGGATTCTGTGCTTCTTTGGCACCACTTAAATGTTAAGAAATAATCCTGGAATGTATCGGTTCTGTGTGATTCTGTATCCTTGATTCTGTCAGCCTCCCAGCGATAAAACTCACACACCTTTTAGGCGAAGGAAAGGATGTAATTAGAATTAATTCGCACGTTGACGATTCTTGTTGACGGCTAGACTCAACAACAAATGGCACGCCGTGCGGTCTGTAGTGCCTTTATATTGGGGGCTCTCGCTCGAAGAGATTTTGGCTAGCTGGCAGGGCAGTACTCAGAGAAAGAGATGCGCGAAACTAGTGCGAGGCAATCATCTCGAATCGATCCATATAAGCCGTTTTCTTTGTTCTGGTCACAGCATGAGAGAAGTTCGAGATCTTGGGGTGCATGCGACACATGAGGCCCCTTCGATTAGGTAGTTGAAGTTGATGCATTCTACAGTCGAAGTTAATGCTGGATAGTCCATCAAGTAGGGCTATTTCTTAAGGATACTGAGGGAAGTGTAACGTTTAACCCTTTCACCAACCCAAAATACCCATCGTAGGGGAGATGTAGAGAGAGAGCCAGAGTTAGATAAGAGAAAGACACACACACACACTGATACGAATGATAAACAAATGTGCGTGACAAGAATTGGCCAATCAATATGCTTCAGTAGTGGGAAATTTGGGCACCGGCCCCACCACTTCCTTGTCCACTGCGGTGGCCGACGACTCACTCGCATCGCAGAGAGTTCAGAAAATAGAAACGAACCCTAGAAGGACCGACGCAAGACAATTGGCATGCCATGCCATGGTACGTGGACCCTGAGCTAACCGATAGAGATGAGATGCACATGCACAGGGACAACGGGACAACGGGACGCGACACTTGCAGGCAGTGAGAGACGGCACCAAAATAGATGCGCCAAGCAGAGCGGCACCTATTAATCAACATCAAGGTTGATCGAGATCGAGATCTCCGAGCGCGGTGCTCGAGGAAGCGGCATGGCATCCATGTCGTCGCCGCAGTCCCGAAGTTGCGAAATTACCGTGCCGTCCATTTATCAGAGCAATTAACCACAGTCCGCGCCGACACCGATGCATTTTCTCTCATTATTTTTGTTTTCCCCAATCGATGTGTATTTATCCTTTTAAGTACATTTATTTCTTTTTTTTTTCTTCTTTTCTATTTGGATTTTTTTAGAGCTTTGCTAGTTGCTATTTATACTTCGCACGTCTATAAATATTTGCCAATAGTTCGGAAGTGAATAAGTGGCATTCTTTTTAGAAATTGACTTGCCTTCGGGTGTCGAACCTCAAAGTGTTCATGTGCATCAAAGAGGCATGATACTCTTGGCAAGGGTATGGCATATTTGTCCAGAAGCTTGCACAGGAATAAAAAATCCATAAGTACCAATGACCATAAATATCAATATTTGATGGTCTGAAGCGTCGAATTATGATAGAACTCATATTAAAGTTGAGGTCTTTTTGCTCTGCACCTTGGACCTGCCTCTAAGCCTGGGAATCGCCAATTGCAGGCGTGGCCGATAAGAATACACGTCAGTACTTGGGGCAGCTTGTTGGATGGAAAATCGCGATTGATGCAGACATCTACATACATATATGCCCTTGTCCAGCCTGGCGTCCTGCAGTTATATTCTGGGTATAGCAGGCCTTCTTTTCCGCAAGTGTCATGTCTCTCCTTAAACTTAATTTACACGAAGGTAGTTTATGGATTGATCTAGTTAATGTTTGATCGGAGACTTAAAACTTTTCTGATCTAGTTCGGCGTATCATAAGATTGATTAGTTTCAGAATCAGGTTGATCCAAAATGCGAACAAAATGGAGATTTAATTGTTTCCACGTATTCGACATGTATGTTACATGTTCCTTACATGTCATTAGCACAGTGCCGCTGATTGTTGGATATGTGAACTAAAGTTGAGGGCGCCAGTGTAGAATGTAAAATGTAAATTCAATTCAGCCCACTGCACATTGGGCAGACAGCCGATATTTTGGCATCAATTCAAGAATTTCAAAGAATCTATATCTCTAAGCTATTCGAATACCTGGTAATCCAAATTATTTTACTGCTGTTGCTGTTTGTTCAATTGGGTTGGCCCACTATCCATTCAGTATAACATTAGCATTAGCGATTAACTAACGTTCCGCGCAGGCTAGCGGGATTTCTTAGTTCAGGATAGTAACGCAGCGCTCGCCACAGAGCCACTGAACGCACGGTGGGACACGACACAGGAAACTGTGAAAATATAATATCTTCTACTAGTATTTAATGAGAATTATAAATTTAGAAACATGTAACAATTAATTAGAGAATTATATACGAACAGCTACACATATATGACATATTTGGCTTCAGCCTAATTGAGTAGATTCTGAACAATTTCAAATGCCTCCGCACTGTTACACGTGCTGACCACGTTGTTAAAATGGTGCGGATAGTCGTCCTTTAGTTCCTGCACGAAGGAAACAGCACTGGCAGTGGATTCGCTATCGCTTAGTTTCCCATTCACGAGCGCATTAAGGGTGACGGCCACCATCTGGCCAATGAAATCGACAACACTAGGACGCGCATTCATGTAGAGGACGCGGAAAGCCATGAGCACTATGTCATAATCTTCGGTGTCCTTGCGGAGGGGCAGATTGTGCATAAAAACGGGCAGCACGAAACCTAGAGGCACAATATTGCAATTGGTTATAATCAGGCGTGCCAGAGCCCCGCAGATATTATCCACTGCAAAGGCATCAGTCTCCCTGGCGATCGCATCGGAGAGAGCTTGCAAAATCACTGAAAACGAGCCAAAAGAATTTTCTTCAGCATTATAGACGAGTTCGCCCAGGCCGAAGAAGCAGCAATGACGCGCCTTGGATTGGCAGTCGGTTGAGCCTTCTAGGAACACGGGCAAGAGGTCATCGAAATAGGTGACCACACGGATGCCCAGCGGCCGGATGCACTCGGACAGGACGCCGTAAACAAGAGTACGCTGATTTAGATCATCGTTTTTCTTAGCCTTTTCCTGCAAAAACGGAAGGTTATTTAGATCTGCGGATCACCAGCGAAATCTTACGCTTACCAGTTGGGTCAATAATAATTTGTACAGTCGTCCAAAATACATTGAGTATGTCTCCGGGTCGAGAGCGTAGCTAATCGTGACCACGAGATTGGCAGCACTCTCAATAACCATCTCATCGTCCTCGCACTCCTCGGTGTCCGTATCGCCCTCGCCATCGTCCACGGGCTCACTGTACTGACAGGCCGTTTTACTGAGTAGCACATCTGTGATGCCCCCAACGAGATCCTCTGCCAGTTGAGCCAAGGGCAAAGCCGCTTTCTTGACGGTCTTGAATAGCTCGCCGAGGTTTTCCAGTATTGTAGAGACTATGTCCGGCTCCTCGTCTTTCTTGATAAGGTGAGTAAACTGTGGCACAAGGATGGTGCATGCAAGCTTCACGCCGTCTATGTCAGCCGTATAGCCGAGGGCCATCACAAATGCGCAGAGGGCGTCGATGGATGCCTTGCGGATGACTTCCTGGTTATGATCAATATTTTTGTGCACCACATCGAATGCCATCGTAAGGTAGGGCATAAAGGATTTGCTTGAATTCAGAGCAATATCCTTCAAGGCCAATGTGGCCTCCTCCTTCTCAAGGACAAAGTCATTTTCCACCTGCAAGTCATCCGAACCATCGCCCACATTATGATTATTGGATTCATTGTCACATTCGGTAGATGCCACCGACTGAATCATGCGTTCCACAAACCTTGGGAACGCAGTATCCATATTATCAGTCAAAACGAACGATAGTCCGGAAAGCAAAGAGTAGATGGCACGCCTCAGGTCAGGATCATCTGGACCCTGATCCAGCATTGTCAGAGAAAACTGCAGTGTACAATCAGCGAGATGAGTAAAATTCTCTTTTCCCACATAACTGGCGATTGAAGCCAGTGTATCTATGGCCTCAATGCGCAGCGCATTGAGCGGCGCGGAGCATTCATAGACCAGATAGTGCGTCAGTATATGCACAATCGGATTTAAGTACGGCGAGAAATTGGTCTTCGATACACTGGCCACCGTTGAGATGTTGATTAGGGCAAGCTTTCGAATGTGCACGTGGTTCTCTTGGTCCATGCACTCGAAGAGACTGAGAATAATTTGAGATTACTATATGAACACAATGGGCAATAGAAACTATAAATTACCATTCCATCACCACCGGCAAATGTGGTAAAATCTCATCTTCAAGGTGATCACATAAATCTGCCAGAGCATTGAAGATTCGATTTATCTTGTTGGGCTCCACCGAATGGGTCATCTTCGCCTCCACAACCACTTGATGGATGAAATCGAGCACCACGGGCATTATCTGCGGTGCAAATGTGGATATCTCGGGCTGCATATGCTCTGTGAACTGTCCCAGGGCAAAGAAGGCCACGTTATGCACGCGGGGATCCGGATCGATAACGCCCCTCTGGATGATGAGGCTCAGCAATATTTCCAGATTGTTCCGTTTGATGTACTCCGAGCAACCCTCGGAGATGACGGCTATGCACATGAAGGCGCCGCGACGGCGCTGTGGATCGTGACTCTGGAGAGATGGCTCGATAATTGGGAGAAGAGCTCGAAGAAGCTTCTCTGAGGATAGGTCGAAAGCCATGTTATCGAGGGCTTGGGTGGCCGCGCTGCCGGGACTATTGAAGGTTCCCGTGAGGTAGTCATCCTCTTCATCCTCGCTGTCGAATACACTGCAGATCATCTCGAAGATGGCGACCAGGATGGGCCCTAGCAGCTTCTGTTTGACGATTGTCCGCTTCTTTACGCTCACTACGCGTCCAACAAAGTCCACCACCTCAATACGGATGGGAGCATAGAACTGCTTGTTCCTCAAAATCTCCAGGCAGAACTGAACGACGTTCTGTATATTCTTATTGAGCAATTTTGGGGTATTCTCGACCATGGAATCAAGCATGTCAAAGCCGTTATTGAATTCGGACACGACTCCCTTTTGGGCAAATGCCTGCAGGGCAAAAAGCATCAGAGGCACGGTATTTTCCAGCGTCTCCTCTGTGTGGCTGTCAACTAATGGAACCAGGAAACACATTCCCATCATCATATTGGATACAGTGGTTGTGGCCATATCTCCTTTGGCCTGGGCTGCCACCAGTACACAGGAAAAGAGTTCAAAGGCCGCCGGCATGCGGCTGAGAAAATGATCTGGGGCGGCCTCGGTCAGCGTACAGAATATGGATGCCCCCAGCTCACTCTTCTTTGGATCGGGCATGTTGCAGAATTGAAAACTGAGTGCCAGCAAATCAGCCAACCACGAGTCCTCCTTATCCGCCTCATGACGCACCAAAGTTCCAATGAGCTTTCCAATCGCATTCCTTACACCCTTTTGCTCCTCTCCTATCAATGCCTGGAGCATGCAACTCTTTATTTCCTCCTGCTGTTCGGGCGCCACCATCTGCCAGTGATGCAGCTTCTGGAGTCGTTTATTCATCAGGAGAACTGCGAGCTGGCGGACTGGTGCCTCTCGGGGCGACACCAGAATCTGGCAGAACCCTGTCAGGGTCTGCGGATTCCTAAACGCCTGGCCCAAAGCTTCAGTGCACTCGTGGATTCGGCTTGTATCTGTGCACATGATACCGCCAATTATGTCCACCAATGCCGCCTCCATACTTGACTTGAAACTATATATTTTATTTTACTTTTGGATAATAAATTGTAATTTCGTAATGTGGTGCGACCAACTTTTTAGAAAAAACTATTCGAATGTGACCAAATGCTCGATATGCTTCTGACGTTTTTTTCCAAAGCACCTATATTTTTATCGATGAAAACATATATAAACCCCCGTGCTTTCAAGGATTTTCGATGTGTAGGAAAACCGGCAAAATGTTTTTAAAGCAGCGCACACTGGGCGGAATTCCAAAATAAGTGGCATAAAGTCGAAAATTTTTTTGAAGCAAATATTAATTATATTTCAATATATTGAAAGAAGAATCCGTATATAAAAAATCGATACATTTTGTTGCTAAAAATGCAACCCTGTCATTCTGATCAAGCTTCAAAGTCAGTTGATTAGTCAGCTGATTCCTGCGACCAAATTAGCGGGAAATTTTTATTTACTTTTTATTCACCACTGCAGTGGCAGAATCGAGCAGACACTGCGAACATTTGGCCAGATTTTGCAATCTCAACTCTTAACTCAAGTCTCAATCGACAGAACCCGTTTTCTTTATACTGGCAACGCCTAAGGAAAAGTCGTCCCTGTACTCTATGTTTTATTGTTAAGTTTAATTAATAGTTTTAACTGGTTGAAACTGGAATTATGTATTTTACTTTTGCGTTTTTTTTTAACTGCCTGTTTCATATTACAGCCATGTGGCTCTCTAAATATCCTGATAACGCGAGATCCCAGGAATACGAGAAGATGCCATATTCCAGCATATATTGCTATTGGTTTAATTTCATCCACCATTGGGACAGAAACTGTGTTCCGATGGATACTCAAAGAGTTCTTTCTCAACGTTCATTTAATCATCAAACTCGTGTGGAGTGGGTGGCTGCCAGCCGCCAAAGGCCCTCTCCAATTCCACGGCCAGGTGCAGACACAAACGATCCTGATGGGGCGCCGCAATTACGGAGAATCCTATAGGCAGGCCCTGTTTATTAACTCCGACTGGCACATGCGTGACCGGCAGGCCGAGAACGTTGAAGATCAGGGTGTAGTCGATGCCCCACAACGGCAAAACTATCCACTTGTGCCTGGCGGCCGGCGAGCTCATGGTGGGGAATAGGAGAACCCCGTTCTCCCCTAGAAATGTCTGTATGTTGGAATACAAATTGGCATTAGACATCATCGGAGATTGCGTGCACGCTAATTGGCCACTTACACTGAACTCTCCAATGAGCGCCCTGGACTCCGCATGGTATTGTTCCATTTGAGGTCTTCCCACAAACGCCTGGCAGCGGCGCATAAGCTCAAAGATCAGGGCGTTGGTTGTGTAACTCGACTGACCGCGGATGCTGCGAAACAGTTCGCCCAGAGTCTCGCGCACTTTGCCCGACCCCTCCGTTGGCTCTGCCTCCAGCAGGTAGTCCATCTGGTGCATGCCTGCAATCCCGGCCAGGGCCATCTCCATGGAGTTGCCGAGGTTTGGAAGCTTGGCGCGTTGCACATCCAGGCCGAGGGCTTTCAAGTGCACCACAGCCTTGCGAATTGCGTTTTGGATCTCCCCCTCCACCGACTGATGCATCCATCCGTTGATGCCCTCGAACCCCATGGCATAGTGGATCTTCAGTTGGCTTAACTGGAAGGGTTCCCTCAAGCGCAGTGTGGCTGCCTTCTCGCTGCCAGCCATCACCTCGAGGAGATCAGGTAGATCCACGGCGAAGCGACTGATGGGTCCCTCCACCAGATATTGCTCAAAATCCTCGGCGATCGAGTTGGGGAAATGACCGCCCACGGATACCACTCCGCCGGACGGCTTGTGGCCAAAGATGCCGCAGTATAGACTCGGGATGCGAATGGAGCCGCCAATGTCTGAGCCGATGCCGAAGAGGGAGGCGCCAGCGGCATTTAAGGAGCCCTGAAAGGAAACTCTTTCGTTCATCGCAACATAGGGTTGAGGGGAATGTTACTACTCACCTCACCTCCAGAACTGCCACCGGGTGTGCGCTCAAAGTCGTACGGATTGAGGCAGCGGCCATTGAGCAAGGTGTCCGTCTCAATGCTGAAGCAGTACTCGGGCGTGGCAGAGACCAGCAATGGAATGGCTCCCGCAGAACGAATGCGCTTCACGGCGACGCCATCGTTCTGCGCTTTCACATTCCTTCTGGCCAAACTTCCCACGGCAAAGGTCATGCCGCCCAGGGCACAAGATTCTTTCACTGTTAGGGGAAGTCCCAGAAGGGGGCGATCTTTGAACAGCTTCTCCACATCGTTCGAACGGGCTATGAGGTCATCAGCTGACGCTGCTTCCTGCAGAGCTTCGGGAAAACGAGACTCGACCAAAGCATTCAAATGAGGATTGACCGCCTCTATCCGTTCTATGTAGGCCTTAACGAGTTCCACGGAAGTCAACTGAAGTAGCAATAGATTATAAGTCGAACCAAAATATTGATTTGTATTTCTCTTCCTTCATATCGACTCTCACCTGTCGCGTACGCAGACGTTTGCGCAGCTCCTGGACGCTCAGCGTAAGCAGGCGATTCCTTATGGGCGGCAACAGGGTTTTTCGTGGTTTCGGCGGGTACCAGAATCTGTCCAGCAGCGGTCCGACTATCAGGGCGATTGCCTTAACGGCAATCACAATTAAACGCAGAAATAATTCCATTTCAGCCCGCACGCGATGGCGAATGGAGAGGTATTATATGGGGAAGAGAATTCACAAAACTTTCCGGTGTAAAACGTGTATAGCACATACACTGCACATATATATGTATAGTCAGCAGAGGCAGCAGTAAAAGCAGAAACAGAAGAGAGAGACAAACAACAAAGGTAGAAACAGACTGGCAGGAAGAGAGGGAGTGCGAGCGATCACAAGCAAGCGGTAAACGCGAGCGAGAGTGGGCTTGTGTTTACTAAAATACCTCTCACGGCTTCCAGCTGTCACGAATACGAATTTGTAATCTATGTGTTAAGAAGTGTATAATAATAAGGGCTCGCGTACACTGTAGCTGAAAGCTTAACTGATCTGAGAGCTTTTTTCAGGCAGAATCAGCTGGCAGGTGCGTACATTGTACGCTGATCTGATTGCTGAAAGCTGAAAGCTATTACCTCCCTTTGTCTCCCTTCTTAAGTGGCATCAAATAATTATCATGATAATTAATTGGGGTATATTAGATTTGTGATGAAAATGGATTTGTGTAACGTCCAGAAGGAATCGTTTCCGACCCCATAAAGTATATATGTATATTCTTGATCAGCATCAATAGCCGAGTCGATTGAGCCCTGTCTGTCTGTCTGTCTGTCCGTCCGTCCGTCTGTCCATCCCTATCAGCGCTAGGGCTCAAAGACTACAAGAGCTAGAGCAACGACATTTTATATCCAGACTTCTGTGATATGTCACTGTTACAAGTATATTTCAAAACTTGCCCCGCCCACTGCCGCCCCCAAAAAGGGCGAAAATCTGCAGCATCCACAATTTCAAAAATACGAGAAAACAGAAAACGCAGAATCGTAGAGGATGACTTTATCTTCTATATCTTATATCTATATAATTATTCAATACAAATCAAGAATAACAATTATACTAATAATTAAACAATAAAAATCAAGAATAACAATTATAATAATAGTTATTCATAACAATTATAATAATAGTTATTCAATAAAAATCAAGAATAACAATTATAATAATAGTTATTCAATAAAAATCAAGAATAACAATTATATTAATAATTATTCAATAAAAATCAAGAATAACAATTATAATAATAGTTATTCAATAAAAATCAAGAATAACAATTATAATAATAGTTATTCAATAAAAATCAAGAATAACAATTATAATAATAGTTATCCATAACAATTATAATAATAGTTATTCAATAAAAATCAAGAATAACAATTATAATAATAGTTATTCAATAAAATCAAGAATAACAATTATAATAATAGTTATCCATAACAATTATAATAATAGTTATCCATAACAATTATAATAATAGTTATCCATAACAATTATAATAATAGTTATTCAATAAAAATCAAGAATAACAATTATAATAATAGTTATTCAGTAAAAATCAAGAATAATAATTATAATAATAGTTATTCAATAAAAATCAAGAATTAAAAATCAAGAATAACAATTATAATAATAGTTATCCATAACAATTATAATAATAGTTATTCAATAAAAATCAAGAATAACAATTATAATAATAGTTATCCATAACAATTATAATAATAGTTATCCATAACAATTATAATAATAGTTATCCATAACAATTATAATAATAGTTATTCAATAAAAATCAAGAATAACAATTATAATAATAGTTATTCATAACAATTATAATAATAGTTATTCAATAAAAATCAAGAATAACAATTATAATAATAGTTATTCAATAAAAATCAAGAATAACAATTATAATAATAGTTATCCATAACAATTATAATAATAGTTATTCAATAAAAATCAAGAATAACAATTATAATAATAGTTATTCAATAAAAATCAAGAATAACAATTATAATAATAGTTATCCATAACAATTATAATAATAGTTATCCATAACAATTATAATAATAGTTATTCAATAAAAATCAAGAATAACAATTATAATAATAGTTATTCATAACAATTATAATAATAGTTATACAATAAAAATCAAGAATAACAATTATAATAATAGTTATTCAATAAAAATCAAGAATAACAATTATAATAATAGTTATTCATTAAAAATCAAGAATAACAATTATAATAATAGTTATTCAGTAAAAATCAAGAATAACAATTATAATAATAGTTATTCAATAAAAATCAAGAATAACAATTATAATAATAGTTATTCAATAAAATCAAGAATAACAATTATAATAATAGTTATCCATAACAATTATAATAATAGTTATCCATAATAATTATAATAATAGTTATTCAATAAAAATCAAGAATAACAATTATAATAATAGTTATTCAGTAAAAATCAAGAATAACAATTATAATAATAGTTATTCAATAAAAATCAAGAATAACAATTATAATAATAGTTATTCAATAAAAATCAAGAATAACAATTATAATAATAGTTATCCATAACAATTATAATAATAGTTATTCAATAAAATCAAGAATAACAATTATCATAATAGTTATCCATAACAATTATAATAATAGTTATTCAATAAAAATCAAGAATAACAATTATAATAATAGTTATCCATAACAATTATAATAATAGTTATCCATAACAATTATAATAATAGTTATTCAATAAAAATCAAGAATAACAATTATAATAATAGTTATTCATAACAATTATAATAATAGTTATTCAATAAAAATCAAGAATAACAATTATAATAATAGTTATTCAGTAAAAATCAAGAATAACAATTATAATAATAGTTATTCAATAAAAATCAAGAATAACAATTATAATAATAGTTATTCAGTAAAAATCAAGAATAACAATTATAATAATAGTTATTCAGTAAAAATCAAGAATAACAATTATAATAATAGTTATTAAATAAAAATCAAGAATAACAATTATAATAATAGTTATCCATAACAATTATAATAATAGTTATGCAATAAAAATCAAGAATAATAGTTATAACAATAGTTATTCAATAAAAATAAAGAATAATAATCTCCGACGAAACTCAAAACGTTCCGTATTTCAATACATGTCTCCTTTGGATCTTTTAAATTGCCAGCCTGTGCCTATGTGATGAATATTTAAAAGATATTTTAGAAGTATGCACAACAAATTTTAATGTAGTCATTGCTGTAGTCAATGAGATCTAAAAGTTCCATTTTGAAAATTTTTTCTAATTTGTTTTCCTATTTGCACAGCTATTAAGTAGCCCTGATTATTTCTCAATATGTTAGACAGACATTATGGATTAAGAATCCTCAGAAATGAATATATTTAAATGCTTTTTAGCATGGTGGACATCTTTTATCTATAATATCCGCGAAAAAAGATGGTTATTGATAAAAGTTTTTCCTCAAATATCTAAAGAAAAGTCCAGAAAATTGTCCTAACCTTGGCTTACGGTATATCTCTTAACTTTTATTACACCAGAAGCGATTAGAATAATGAAAAAGGTCATAATTTGTCTTTTATTTCGTTGCAATAATTATAATCGTATGATTGTGATGAATTATATGACGGTAGATCGTTAAGATAATGATAATGATAGCAATTACCATTTCGACTTCAAGTGCCGTCTGGCCGCTCGAGTACGAGTATATTAAACAATCCGTCATTGAACTTTTAAACAATCAAATGAACTAAACCACAAACCTTAACTTAACTGGAAATTTCACTTAGAATTAATTGCATGCGGCACTGGTGGCACCCAGCCCTCGAAGACGGCCTCAAGCTCGGCGGCAATCTGCAGACAGAGCTTGTCCTGGTAGGGAGCCGCCACCACCTGGATGCCAATTGGCATGCCGCGCTGGTTAAGGCCCATTGGCACATGGGTGGCCGGCAGACCCAGGATATTGAAGAGCAACATGTTGTCGATGCCCGTCGTATTAAGAACGGAGGTGTGGAAGCAGAGCGCGCTCGTGTGGAAGGTCGGCAGCAGCAGGACACCGCGATCGCCCAAAAGTTGCTGTGAAAGATTTGTGCACAAGCCATCGTATAGGGACATTTTGGATTGTTTCGATTCACTTCAACTTACAATTATGTGTTCTTTGATCTTTTTCACTTCATCGCGGTATTCTTGCATGTTCCCAGAGGCCATAAGTCCATTGAAGCGTTGCATCAACTCCAGGAACATTGCCTCCTTGGTGAACAGCGAGTGCCCGATGAGGCTGTTCATGAACTCCATGATCAAGAGGCGCATGGAGGGCGGACGATCGGGTCGCTGTGTCACAATGCTGGGCAAGCCCTTCAGATCCACCAGAGACACCAAGGCAATCTCCAAGGAGTTACTCAGGAAACTGAAGTCCATCTGTTGGGGTAATTTATAGATTAGATCAAGGCGATAACCTGTTTGGAAGTTTGGTGACCTTTTTGGCGTTGATGCCAGCTTTCTCAAAGCATTTCACTGCTTTCGTGACGGCCATCTTGATCTCAAAGTCCACCACGGGATGGGTGAAAGAGTTCAGGCCCGAATAGCCATAAGAATAGTAGATCTAAGAAGTAGAAGACTATCAGAGAAATGTCTTTGATCTTAGGTGGTGAGTCATAACCTTTATGTCCTTAAGGGGCACGGTTTCTTCCATCTTCAGCTTGTGCTTGTTGTCTCCCGCCATGATCTCGAGGAGCAGCGGCATGTCGCGGGCAAAGCGTGTGATGGGTCCAATCTGCAGCATGTCGGGGAAACTCTTGTCCGTCAGCGAGTAGGGAAAGTGACCCTTGACCGATGTCAGGCCCCCCGTCGGCTTGTGCCCGAAAACTCCACAGAACAACGCGGGCAAACGGATGGAGCCACTAATGTCAGAGCCAACGCCAAAGGTGGTGGCACCGCAGCCATTGAGCGTTCCCTCGCCTCCGGAGGAGCCCGCCGAAGTCCGACGCATGTCGTAGGGATTTAGACAGCGCCCATTGATCACGGTGCTCGTCTCGAAGCTCATGCAGAACTCGGGAGTGGCGGAGACGAGCAGCGGAATGCCGCCGGCGGCACGGAGGAGCTCCACCACATCTCCATCCTTGGCGGCCTTCATGTCCTTGCGGATAATGCTGCCCACGGAATAGGACAGGCCTAAAAGGATAGGGAAATCAGCTGGGAATGGTTTCAAACCTACCTTAATGATTACCCTTAACGCCGCACGATTCCTTGACGGTGAATGGGATACCCAGGATCGGGTATCGCGTGTACAGGGCCACCCGATCGAACTCTGTGCTGGCACGGGCTATGAAGTCATCGGCGAGCCGTGCGTCAGTCAGGGCCGCCTTGAAGCGCTCATCGACCACGGCATTCAGGGAGGGATTCACTTCTCGGACACGTGCGATGTACGCACTGACCAACTGAACCGAACTAATCTGGGGATGAAAATGACATGCAAATGCATGCAAATGTGGCGATTGCTGGGCATGACGTTTGGATCGATTGGAGCAGAGACTAACCTCGCCGCGACGCAATTGGGTGGCCAGCTCAACGACGGATCTGTTCAGCAGGGGATCACTGATGGGCGGACAGTTGGGAGGCCTGCGGACCATCACCAGATCCAGAATTTTGTTCACCAACATGCCGAAGGCATTCAGCGCAAAGGCCAGCAGTCGCAGGATGATCTCCATGTCAAGCGATTACTCCGATGTACAAGAAGGGGGGAGGGCGGTCTGGGGTCACCGAAGGTGGCCTGAATTCAAATCGGAAGAACTTTGAACGGTGTGACGGAAGTGGACTAGCTGGACGTGGAGTAGGGGCTGCTTGATCGGCTCTGGAACACCACCGAACGCATTGACTACGGATCGCGGACTACGCGTGTCGATTCAAAATGAAACGAATTTCATTGTTTCATTGTCTGAATTTGAATTTGAGTTTAGTTTCAGAGTAGCAGGCATTTTCCAGCACTCACTCGAAAAACAGAACAGGGCTGGAGAGAAATGCAGAGGAATGAATGAATGAAGTGAATCATTTCCCAAATGAATAACCGGGTGGAGGGGTTTGTCATGAAAGATGCATTTATTTCTGTATGTTTATTAGTAATCATTTAGTTATTGTTACACTTATCACTTACGTGCTAAAGGAAAGTTCAACAAATGCAAAAACTGTTAGCACATTAACTACTCTTTAAACAAAACAAAAAGTTGAAACGGCTATAAACCCGATCATAACAAATAACAGGGTACTTGGAGACAGTACAGTTGTAGGAGAGACAGCGAATGATTCGTAGAATGAGAGTTAACTCAGTTAGGCAACTTGGTAAAGGCGCGAAAGAGACGTCTATACGTATATGAATATATCTTGTTCTTCTTGGTATTGCTCCAAAATTGACATCTATGTATGTATGCTTAGGTATATGTATGTATGCAGCTATATATGTATATGTATATGTATGATAGATATAGGTATGTATGTATCATTCTCTGGCCGATCTGGGAAACTTGCTTAGCATATTTCAATAGACAATTACGTGGGTATGTTTGCTCGTACTATCTTTCTCCATAGAACACTGAACATGACATCGATACATTTAATCCTAGAACGGCAATGCTTCGTTAAGCTGTAGAAAACTTCTGGTAGTAAAAGAATGTATAAACAACATAAAACTGTGGTTATTCCAGGGAATTTGTCTTCGAAGCATTACCGTTTTGGGATTCAAAGTTACAGAACCCTTTTAAGGCTAAATTCTTCATCTTTCTCTCTACTTTATTTGGTTTCTTGGTTACATCATTCATATGTCTGATTATCATTGATATTTTCTGTAGATTTGTATCTGAGGAGGGGGGATATGTGTCTGTAATCATGTTTGTGGGTTCTAGTCTCGTGTGTTCTGTATAATATTACTATTACTATTATTATAATTATTATTATTATGTATATATTTGTTGTAGTTCTATATGGTATGGTTTAGCATTAAAATATTTATTGTCTAAAACATTTCGCCCCGAGCTTAGTGCCACCCTAGACCTAGATCTATACCTTCCCCCCGAAAATATCTGTCCCCCCAATTCTAACTAGCACACACCTTTGGCTACTTACAGATAACTTTCTTCGCTTTCTTTCCATTTCTAAAACACTGTTTAAATTTATAATTCAATTAGTGTCTTTCTTTCTAATATTTCTACTTATTTTCGGTTGTTCACAGTCTGATTGGATCCAGGAAATTTCGGTTTAGCGGAGCACTTCCCGTGCACACAGAAATCTTATAGGCCTAGGGAGGTTTTCGGGTATCGGCAGGGGGTTCGGGCTCAAAACTCTCGGGGCTCACGAGAGCTTTGGGCCGTCTTCTCTTTACGGGAAGTGCAATGCCAAACCGATCCTGGAATATATACTGTGGATTCACCATATTATTGGATGTGGATGTGGGACTATCCCATCTTAGGTCATGTGCAGATCCCCCTTGAGGATGCGTGTAAAGGTCTTCTTGAACTGCTGGTTGGCCAGGGCGTAGCAGAAGGGGTTCATCGGACTGTTGGCATAGCACAGGAAGTACGAGAACATGTACAGATGCTCGTTGGTGCACGGCGGATTCCGGCAGAATCCCTCGACCAGGGCCAGCACATGGTAGGGCGTCCAGCAGGCCACAAAACAGCCCAAGATGAACGAGATCGTGCGGAACGCTTTGCGGGCACGATTCTCGGACTTGGACTTCTGTCTACCGCCTCCACCTAGCGCCAAGGGTAGGGCCTTCTTGCTCTTGAAGTGCTTGCCAATCGAGTGGATGAAGGCCCGCTTGCTGGAGCCGCGATTCGAGATGCCATCCGTCTTCTGCTGCGACTCCTCCTCCCGATCTCGTCTGCTGCCGCCAGCCAATCCACCCCCGCCAGAGCTGCTGGTGGTGCCCGAGGTGGAGGGCATCTTGTTGGTGTTACTGTCGGAGGTCTCACGCTCCTCGATGCGCTCCAAGGCCGGAGGAGGGGCCGCAGTCTGAGTTGGTGTCCCCGTCGCCGTCGCCAGCGCCTGCTGGGTCTTCACCTTGGGTGAAACCGGCGGCATGGGCGAGTACAGTATGGCATCTTTGCTGCTCGTCTCCATGGGACTGGAGGCCCTCCGATGCGGACAATCCGCCAGAAGTTTGCCACTGGGCACGTCCAGCAGGCAGATGGCCTCGATGCAGCTCTCCCGCCGCACTTTCGCAAAGTCTTCGATGCCTGTGTACGAGACGAGAAGACGTTTTTCAATGGCAACTGCCTCCTGACTTTGACTCTGGTTCTGGCTGTGGTTCAGGCTTAGGCTTAGGTTGAGGCTTTGGCTTTGGCTGGGACTCTGGTTCTTGTTCTGGTTCTGGTTCTGATTTTGGTTATGGTTCTGGCTGGTTGAGTTATCAGCCTTTGGGGGATGCTTGCGTGCGGGTGGCGGCGGTGGGAGGGCGGGATTCGTTGGTCTCACGGAGCAGCTGATGGTGTCGTTGGGGGAGGTGTTGTTGGTGGTGGTGATGGTGGCCAGCATGGCAGAGCTCTCGTCCATGTAGCGCAGCTCGGAGTTGTTGGTCATGAGGTCATAGGTCATGGCCAGCTCGCTGTTGCCCGAGCTATTGCCAAACGGACGATCCGAGTAGTCGTCAGACAGGGGAGTGGGACACTGGAAGGCATCAGGCGGTGGCAAGATGGCCTGCACCAGACCCTGATGCACCTCCTCGCTGGGCACCTCAATGGGGGCCAGGTCGACGGGCGACAGGGGATCGTTGGTGAACTGAGCGGCGGCCTGGGCCTGGGCCTGGAAGTCAATGAGGCGATCATGCTCCGCTATCTGGGAGAGAGTGGAGCAGGAGGTGCGCTTGGGGGGTCGGTCCAGTTGGTGGTGCTGGTTCTGGTTCTGGTTCGGGTTCTGGCTGTGGCTGTGGTGCTGCTGGTGCTGATGATGAAGGCGAGCAATGCCCACCTCTTCCTTGCTCTGGGCCCGCTGCAGACTCGTTTGGTGTGTCGGGTGGTGGTGATGCGGGTGGTGATGCGATGGCGATCGCCCACCGCCCATGGAGTGCATGGCCTCGATGGACTTGGAGTTGGTGGTGCTCTTTTGCAAGTTACCTTTGCCGCGGGTGGCCAGCAGGGCGGCCTGGGCACCGAACACCAGCCCGATGGAGGATCGCTTGCGCATGTTGCTCAGCTTCTGCTGGGTGATCAGCTGCTGGGCCTGGTTCACCGACGACTCCTCGTCCGAGTCGAAGGCCGGGCTGCTGGAACGCTCGCTCTTCTCCGCCTCCACCGCATCGCGCTTGCGCGCCTCCTCGATCTTGGCCGCAGACGCGCGACGCTGCTCCGGGGTCATATTTTCCACCTCCTCGGCGGCCTGGGCCAGAGGATTGGACTGACCGGAGCCGCTCAGACGCTTGATGACCGTCGTACAGGCGGCACTGGCACTGTCCAGATCCGTCTGACCGCCGGCCAACTCCACCTTTGTCTTCAGTATCTTCTCCTCGATGACTCCGATGCCGGCCGCATGTCCTGCCATTCCGGACATGGCCCCGGCACTGAGCGCCACCATGGACTGCATCTTGCGCTGCTTGGCCTCGCTCCGTTTCTGCATGTCGTAGGCCGTTTTGTAGATGCCCGCGTAAAGGACGAAGAGCACAATCAGCGTGGTCCAGTAGTAGCCAATGATCAGGGCCGTGTTGAAGATGGGGTCCTTGAGGAACTGCACTGCGCACTGGCCCGGCAACAGGTCGCGCTTACCCGTAAAGTGCTCCCAACCGAAGATCGAGATGAAGAACAGAAGGGCCGGGATAATCCACGTGATAGTCACCATGTAAATCACACGAGTCCTGGTCCGCCAGCTGCGGTACTTGGCCGCAATCTTCACCGAACAGTACCGATCGATGGTGATCAGCAGCACTGTGTACTGGGACACCAGGCATACCGTGTAGTCCACCGACAGCCACAGATCGCAGAGCACTGGCCCCAGGTCCCAGTAGCCCTTCAGCACATAGATCGTATAGAAGGGCATCGAAACGGTTCCTGTGGACGGATGAGAGAAACCGAATGATCATCAGAAAACCATATCCTTGAGAGCCCTTACCTATCAGCATATCCGTGGCGGCTAGCGAGGCAATGAAGTAGTTACTCGGCTGCCGGATATTCCTGTCCACGATGAAGGCCAGCAGGACGAGGATGTTGCCGCCCACAGTGAGAATGATGCAAATGGCCAGACAGATGGCAATGAAGATCGTCTGCCAGAGGGCGAACGGCGGCAGCACGGGCACCAGGACATTGTCCGAGCTCAGGTCCGTGTCCGTGGCAGTGCCACTCCCCGCCGAGTGGTTCTTCAGGCCCAGCGTGCTCGTGTCGTTGACATCGAAGTTGCGATACCACTGCAGCTGCTCGTTGGCCGACCACGAACTGAAGTCAGTGCTCTCGCCATAGATCTTGGTGGCCTCCAGGAGGCGCTTGCACTCGGCATGGTCTAGGACCCGCTTGAACAGGATGCTGCACAGCTTGTCGCGCTCCTTGTTCAGGCTCCTGCGATAACAAAATAATGATATTGGAAGAGGGGTGTGCAATCAGGGTTTGGAGACTTACCAGTCGGTGATCCATTTGGATTTGATGGTGTATATGGAGTCCGTGGCATTGCCCAGCTCGTCCTCTCCGCCCTGAAGGCCCACCGACTTGTTTAGAGAGCGCATTTCCACTCTCCTCTCTCCGCTCCCCTCTCCGCTCCGCTCTTCAGTCCCCCACTCCACGCGGCGCACTCCTCCCTCCAAGATCCTTTGTGCTCTCGATGGGAATTTCAAGTAATTCCTCCGTAATGTGCTGTCGTCACTGGCTCTTGGAATGCTTACATTGCCTCCTCGGACTCCCACGGCTTGTC